CATCAAGTTGATTTGTCTCTAATCTGCAGCATTTCCATATTTTCAAACCCCTCAAATTACATCACAAGTTCCCATTTATTGTAGGTTGGCAAGTTTACTTTGCATTTACTTTCTTTTGGTGTTGGAGAAAGTGTGATCACAAGTTAACAAAACTCTGGTTAGGTCTGTGGTCACATTACAGAGACTAGAAGATCGGCAACATATCCACTCCATTTAAAAGTACTAAACCCCTCTGGTGCACTGCTACCTTACCTAGCTTAGCTTAATGTGAAAGGCCTGGGATTACCTTCCAGTGGATCACTAGTTAAGACGTTTTTTAAATGAGAAGTGAAATATTTTTAAGGCTCTAAAGCAAGTTCAACTCTTTTCAGACAAGCCATGGCCTGAAGAATCATTACAGACTAATTATTTGCACAGAAAAAAACATATTTAAACTTGGAACGGATCAGGATTACTGCATAGTGAATGAAATATTAAATCAAATAATATTTCATGCATTTTCATGCATTTTAAATATTAAATCAGCTTTAATCAGTCAGGGTTTAGACCTGGAAATTACGAAGTCATCTGACTGCCAGTGAGGGACAAAGTTTGACAGGGAGCTGCAGGTCCAGAAAGTTTCAGAAGTCATCCATGATGTTGGAGATCCTAACCTGAGTCACACACTCACACATGCATACAAATAAGTAGCGTGTGTAAGCTGAATCCTGATTAGGTTGAAAACACAGTTCAGAGTGTGCTTATGTTTGTGCTGTAATAGAAAGAGACACATGAAGGACACCGAAGTCAAAACACAATGAGCTCCGGTTGCTGCTTGGCAAGTTTTTACTGGGCTTCAGACTGTTTTTTGACTCACTTGTAATTGCTGTATATGAAGGCCTCGATATGAAAGTTGTTGTTCAGTTTCCACCAGTTACGGCCACCAAACATGGACTGCATTTAACAGATAGATATAGCCACAGTGACATCTGCCACTGGCTGGAAGACTACTGTTTTGAAGCACTGAGTTTGGTATTTGGCCTTCACTATGTTGGTCTTTTAAAACTAGATATAAGGAGCAAGCTGTGGATGTGACTGAGAACCTAAGGACACTACACACAGTGTTAAAGTAGCCACCTGTCAATCACTGTATAATAATATGCAGTGATGCTTCGTTTAACAAGCAGAAGAGTCGCCCCCTGGCAGGACATTAGGAAGAATGCAGGTTTAAGGCACTTTAATAATGACTTCACTTTTCAGACCCGCCCTGTGATAGACTGGTGACCTGTCCAGGGTGTCCCCTACCTTCACCCTGAGTCAGCTGGGATAGACTCCAGCTCCCCCGCAACCCTAGTGAGGATTACGCGGTGTATAGATAATGGATGGATGGACTTTTCAGACCCCGAGGCTACGCCCGTCCTTTGTATACAGTCTGTGCCACCAAAACAGAATGATAGACTGATTGGAGACATTTTCTCTTATGCCCTGAATGCAGCAATCAAACGTTTAAGCTGTGATCATATATTTTAACCATCACAGAATACAAAACATCAGCATCGTACTGCGTTTTATTGCTCACTATTGTGTTCTGGACAAGACTGAAAACGTCAAAGAAAATTTTTATAAGAACTTGCAGACCTCAACCTCTTAGATCATTTCTAATCATCTCCTTATGTATGTTTCTGCACCCCCCTTAGGTGGTCCTGAACCCGACCACTAATGGACCAAAGCAAGCGGAGTTCCATCGGATGGTCGTCCCCAAGAACAGCCAGGACACGGAGCTGAAGATCAAACTGGCTGTCCGCATGGACAAACCTCCCAACATGAAGCACAGCGGGTGAGTCTGCTGTTAACTTTGTCTTTTTGCCTTTATTAGAGAGTTTACAGTGAAGATAAAGACGTGGGAAAGAGAGAGGTATGGCTCCATAACTGGGACTGAACGTCAACATAGAACTCAACACGTTATAACACAAACATGCTCTTTTTTTTTCATGTTGTGATGATGCATGTGTAACATGACAATGATGTGAAACCCGATTTCCACATTCATTGTAAAATGTTCTGATTGGGAAGAATATATATATATGGTACTAACAAAACTAGCAGTGATGCTTCTTTAAGTCTAGGACCTGCTGATTGATGACCGAGACGGATGACAGGGCTTTCACTTCAAAAGTTCAAGCTTGGCTTTGCTGTGATTTTGTATAGAAACAGCAGCTGCACAAGCCATAGGAGTAAGGGAGGACGAGGCTGATTTTCTGTCTGGTTGTGCTTTTAAAATTCAGTTGAATTCATCTTTAATCCCAAATAAGCCTAGGTAGCTGCTGTGGTGCCACCAATTTTACTTTGGAGACGTTGTGTGCCTCTGAATTGATGGAAAAATGTAACTCTCACACCACGGCTTGAAATCAGAACCACAATTTAGTTTAAATACCAGGTTTATGGTTTGATGGTTACCTGACACCAACAGACAACATGGGTCTATAATGCCACAAAACTGGGTTTAACAGCTGATGTAAGTTAACATGTTGACTACACCAAATAGCCCGTTTACGTTCCAAAGGAATCTAACAGAAATTGTGCGTGCACAAATTTGATTGACCTAAGTATAATGTTGCCATGAGAAGATTCATGGGGTCCTGGTTTTCACAAGTTAACCCCCACCTCATTGGCAGTGGCATCATAAATAAGCATATTGTGTTGTGTCTGCAGCCACCTCGTTATCTGCATTATGGAATTATGTGCTGATGTTCATTCTGCATATTACCTTAAGCTACCCATTCACTTCTGTGCGTTTGGTTTGAACTGCTGCCATGTGGCAGGAATTAAAGTGTCCTCCTGACCCCACTGATTAGAACAACAAAGCATCATCATCAGACACTCAGAATCCAGCCAGCAGACTAACTGTCGGCCCATATTTAATTGTAAACAATAACATCATCATAGAAATTACGTCTTATTTGAGGGGCTTGTCTGAAGTATCTGCAAGCCAACAGCTCCACCTGCTGGCCATGTAAAGAAATCAAAAGTTGCTGCTGGATCTGAGGATGTGATCACATCAGTATGAATTAGTTGATCTCATTTCATACCATGTGATCTATCAGGATATAGAAACACATCTGAAGCACGATAACAGTTCATGTTATCGTGATTCTGACACACAGACATAAAATTTGATTTTCTCTGTATTATGAACTGATAGTTGTCTCCACCAGGGCTTTTCAATATGTCACCAGATATACTTTGATCACAAACAGCAGTAGCAAACATGCTCCACACATACATATATTTCCAAAAGAATTAGAATTAGAATTTGTAACAGGTACTTCTTCTGACATTTTACGTTTTCTGTACACTTTGTGTATTTATTTTTTAATTTAAAAAATGTACATTTAATTAGTGTTCTCTGAAGAATCCCCAATGAAAAGTCAAGACACATTTGGATTTATTTTTTTTTTACATGTTTAATTAGAATTCAAAACAGAAATCTGTCATTTACAAAAATATTCAGATTCTTTGCTGTGGCACTCTAGATTGGGGTCCGATACATCCTGTTTGCTTCAATGATTTGTGAGATGTGTCCAGAACATGATTATAGTCCACCTGTGGCAAACTGAAAGAAGACATAGTGTTCATGCTCATGCTTTGGTGTTTAAGGTCCCACAAGTAGCACTGCATGTCAAGAGAAAGACCAAACGGGGATCCAACCAACCCTCTGTTTCCTGTCACAACCAGCTTAAGGCTGAACGAAGGAGGCGAGACCACACAAGTTGTAACTACAAATATGTTTAAGAACTAATAGTAAAAATGTACCTCAGTACAAAACAAACAGTACCAGACAGTAAACAAAGTGAAAGCCTTACTACCACCATCTTATACTGTGGAGTCAGAACAGGTGATCTAAACCAACATGACGGCCTGACATCGGTGTGCTCTAGAGGGTCATCACAGTCCTGCACAGTAAGTTTCTGGCAAGGCATATATCAGAGTGAGGGTAAAACCAACTCTAAGCCTTTTCAAGGAACACCGTGGCCAAAGTAATTGTGAAATAGAAGAAGTGTGAGATCACCTGGACTCTTGGCCATGCGGTCAAACAGGTCCTTGTTCAGTCCAGTGTGATCAGCAGGAGCAACAGTCAACTCCAATCTGTTGGATTTTAAGCTGGAAGGTGGTGAGTGGAGTCAGAGTTGCAAGTTTGAGTGTTTTGTAAGGCGTCCCAGTCGTTAGCTGCTGTAAAGCGAAAGGAGTTACGGCCAAAAGTAGTCGAAGTATTGGGGATGATGAGCTTGATGTATTCACTCGACCTAGTATGATAAGAATTATGGACGACGTGAAGAAGAGAAGACAGGTAGGGAGGTGTCTGGGCTAGAATTAATTTGTAAATGAAATGAAACCAGTGGTGAAGCCGCCGGGTATGAAGGGAAGGCCACCTCACCGATCTATAGAGGTCGCAGTGGTGAGTATGGAAGGGTGCATTAGTGACAAATCGGATGGCTGAGTGATAAAGGGTGTCCAGTTTTTTGAGCCCGGTGCTTGGGGCCATTTTGTAAATGATGTTGCCATAATCCAGAATCGGGAGTCATCGTGACGAGGGTGTGCTTAGCAGCATGAGTGAAGGAGGCTTTGTTGCAGAAGAGAGAGGCTAGTCTAGTTTTGAGTTTAGTCTGAAGACTATTAATGTGTGTGGCGAAAGACAGAGATGATGCAATCTGCCAAAGCTTAAGAGGATCTTTCTCCAAGACTGGAGTAAACTGCCCGAGTCCATGTTGAGGCAGCCCTCTGTGTGGTGTAGTTCCAGATTCAAGCCAGTAGATGGCAACACATCCCAATTTCCAAACCTGCAAATTAGGATGAAAAAATCTTTCTGTTGCAGATGGATAAAGTAATCTTTTCCCTATCAGCTTGAGGTGGTTGCAGTATACCCCGCCTTAACAGTCAGCTCACAAAGAGTTCTAAACCAATAGAATTTTTTCAGTTCAGCGGCAGCAATGATCAACTGTAGGCTAAACTGTCCTGGATGTGTTGGAATGTGGAAGACAATCCGTCTTTGATAAACTAATTCCTCAAAGTTTAGATGCATTTTTTGATCCAACGACAGGATCTGAGAGTTGTGGGTCACATGTAGCATAAAACTGAAATGTATAAATGTAGCTGTTCAGTGTTTCTTTTTTGTAATAGGTTCTCTTCTTCAGATTCTTCTTTTAATGTCGTTGTACTTTGTGTATGATGACAATAAAGGCATTCTATTTTCTATTCTATTCTCTTTTGATAGTTGTTCAGCTATCTGTGCCGTCTCTTTTTTTCTCATGTATTTTTATGTTGGTCTGTGTCATTTGTTGTTTTGTCTCTCTCTGTGTAGATGTTGTGCATCTGTTTTTGTTGTTGTTTTGTGTCTTTGTTGTCAAGTTGTCTTGGTTTTTGTTTCTTTTGTTGCTGTTTTATCACTAATTGTGGTTGAATTCTGTCTTTTGTCACGATTTAGTTTCTGTTTTTGGTGTCTTTTTTTGTGTCACTCTTGTTTTTTTGGTGTCAGTTTGTTTGCATTTTTTTTGTTATTTGGACTTAGTTTTTTTTCTCTCTCACTCTTGCATGTCTTCTTACAGTTTTAGTGTCTCTTTTGGCTGCTGTTTTTTTCTTTCTGGCCTGTTATTATTAGTTGTTTGGTGTCTGCCTTTTTTTGGTTTTGGTTCTGTCGCTCGGTGTCTGTTGCTCGGTGTTGTTTGCGTCTGTTTTTGTAGTTGTGTGCTTTTGTTTTGGTGTGTCTTTCTTTTGCACCGGGTGTCTTGTCGGAGGCACCAGGGGCTCATTGTCTCATAATCCGTCTGTGAAAGTGATGTCCCTCTTCTCGTCTCGCTAAGTGCAGTTCCAAAATGTGACAGTGTTTAGCGGTGAAGTTAATGGAGTGAATATGCATGGAGTGGAGCGCTGAAGAGAACTCCCAGTCCAAAGCTTCTGTGTTGGACTTGACCTCCTCAGTTTTTTCTTTGTGACTCGCCTCCTCCTCCAGACAGCCTCCTGCAGGAGCTCCCAGACTTTGTTCCTGTAATGAACAGAATACTGTGGGAGTCAGGCCACTCTGATAACAGGCCGACTGAAAGAACAAACCAAGGACACAGAGCCGAGGCTGTTTTCAAAATGTTCCACAAGGGGTCAGTGTTAGTCTCTGTGAGTTCAGCTCGTCTCTGCGTCGCATCCAGCTCTTCTTCTTCATGCCTTATTCTCTGTCCTTTACTGAATCATTAAAGTTCTGTTCAGGTTATCTGATGCTGTTTTCACTGTGAGTCTTTGAGCCGCACCGTACAAAAGGTTAAATGATATTTATTCTGCATTTCTGATCATAGAAAATTCTACATATTTCAAGATGACCAAAATGACTCCACGCATGTCAAAGAAATTAAATCCAAAAAGAGGCCAACTGATGCAAGAATTTGTGTTGCTTTAAGTAAATAATTAAAAAAAAACAAAAAACACACATAACAGAAAATGATTTGGTGAAAATAGTTTTTTGCGTTTGGCGTGTTTTCCAGCCTGGGTTCAGACTCTTAAAGAAAAAACCTGAAAAGGGAACGTGAGCAGGATGCAAAAGCACATTTGACTTTCAGAGCGAAATAGGTGCAGAAAAAAAGCACAAACATGAACCATTTGGTTTTTGTGTTTTTCATATTTTCTTAAAACATCTGATGCATCGATAAGAGTGAAGAAATGCTTTAGCAGGCAGCAGCAGGGTTCTTTTCTTTTTAGTCATGCCAGCGATCACTGAAGGATGTTTTTCTTTTTTTCTATGATTCAAACTACACACATTTTTTTCTGTTGTGATGGCTAAATACTTTATTATTTTCTCGAGAATTTTTAACATTCTTTTTCACATCAGAATTTACAGCTCAGAGGAATGCAGATGCTCTGTTTTATTTCTTGCGCGTATTGAAAGTGAACAGCGATACAAGACAGCAGCCTGCAGGCATATGGTACTGACAAATAGGATTTTATGGTCTTTTATGAAATCCAGCACGGCAAAATTCACTCTTCTTTTTTTTTTTTTTTTTTAAACAAATTCTATTAACAGCAGGGCTCATTTTCAGAAGTGGGTGGAGTAAACGCCATAGAGTCAGGGATTTGTCAACCACAAACCTTAATTACTTAATGTAAAAAATGAAAAAGGCATACATACATACATACATATATACATACATATATATATAAAAGCAAATAACTCCTTTTATTGAAGTAGTTAGTGCACTCTCCTTTCTGCAGTGGAAATGATTCCCTTTCTAAAATGCTATTTTCTTAGAACCAAACAGTTATCTCATTTCAAAACAGAAGGGTTAACCCGTAGAGTGATTGTGTTCCCATTTCCTTTATGTCATTTACATTATAATAGTGTCCAAAAAATGTCTTCTTATTTTACAAAGCTATAAAATCAGCCACTGTGGTGAGATTACAGAGCAAAGCTACAAATCTTCAAAACATTACCTCTTATACATATATAGTTCTGTATCTGCTTACTGCAATAAATCTATTTTCTCAAAAGATATTAATAATAGCTTACTATTAATAAATATTAAAATGTTTTGGTTTTTTTTTCCCTGCAAGACAAAGACAAAAAACAGTGCTTTTTGGAGTAAAATTATTTTACCTTGCAGAAGAAAGACCCACTTATGGATGCCTTGGATCATAAAACAGTGGAATTCAATGTAACACAACTACCAACATTTTAATCTTATTTTTGTAAACTGGGTGAAACTGAAAGCAGTGAATGTTTGTGCTGCTGTCCCTAGAAATCATTCTGTCTTAGATGCTTTTCTTACCAACATAATCTTCAATCAACCAGAACAATTCACCTGTTTTAAACCCAAACCAATGAGAGGTGTCTCGATTCTTGTGCAGTGATCTGCCTTATTCTGATTTATTTTATTGACTTTCTTTTTTACACAGTGAATGCATAAATGTAGAGATAGAGCATACAGATTAACCAAGCTGTAAATTTCCTTGTTTAAACAGCCCAGACACTCTAAACTCCCTTCCAGTCTGAATGTCCAGCTAAATGACCAGTTAAGGACGGATGTTTTTGTGCAGGTAGGACTGTTAAATGCCTGCAGTGAACACTTTGGCGTCAGCAGTTCATTGCTGTGTCGTCGTGCAGCTGAATGGATGTTTGAAACTACAGGAGGAGGAGGACAGGCAACCAAATAATTTTCACAAGTGGCTGGTGAGCGGTGCCACATGTTAACCCGGAGTCATGTGGAATGGCCCAGATTCTCCGTCCAGACACACCGCAGCCTTGACTGGAGGCCTTTTCTTTAAGGGTGGGCAGCAGGGCTGAAGAAAGAGGTCTCGCCATCGATTGATTTTCCTCACTTGCACTTGCCTGTATCCCACGCTTCACGAGGCCCGGGAGCAGCCATTGATTGAGAGGCCACGCTGGTCATTCTTCCATTTTCCTCAAGACTTCCTCAATGAGCTTCTGTCTGTGTCGTGGCCTCTTTCAGCTCAGAACACGTTACTTATTCCTTTAGTTACATATTAGAGGAGGACATTAATGTGATAATAAGTAGTGGAGTAAAGGAAAAAGTCTCTGCAAATTGGAGATGTATTGTGATGTGAAGCATCAAAGAGCTTGAAACTGGATTCTGACACCAACAGGATCCGATCATTTGGAATCTTAAACACTTCTAATTGTTGTCATTTCCATTAAATTATTAACATTATGTCTGTACTCTCAACAGTTCAATGAAAGTGGCAGCTTGAGCAAGATGTTAAGAAAATACATATAAGGTGGCTGAAAGGTGGCTTGATCTAAGTAGATAAATTATCGATTGTGAATTTCAAATCTGTGCCATTAATTGTCTTCTTTGTTCTTTTTTTTTTTATATATATAATTTAAACCTATGAGTTAATTGTGGTGCATCTTTTTCCCGAGCAACAGTCCAAACCCTAAAGACTCAGTCAATGTCAAACACAGAAAAGCAACCAATTCATTGATATGACTACAATGATTTATCACTGATCAAACTATTTGTCAGTTAATTTTAAAGCTGAAGCTCGGAAAGAAACACATAAAAGCATGATTCAGCAAAGTGGAGGGAAAGAAAAGAATGCAAAAATTGAAGGAAAACACTAAATAAAACAAATGTGTTATTTAAAGGGAGACTGCGTGAAACAATTCTGCAGTTAGTCACTTATTAAACTCCACGAGTGAATTCATCGCATGTGAAGCACGTTTTACATTCGACAAAACAATCTCACCTCAAGGTCAGTTTAACAGTTTGTTTTAGAGCTTTCAATCATATTACATGGTGTTCATGAGCTGCTGGAGTTTGCCCTCTTCCTTGGAACTGTAGATGTTCATATTAACATTTCTAAGTTAACGACTTGTCGTCCATGTTGGTCAGAAAGCTCAGTGTGGTTCCTTAAAACTCACTCGTTGAACGGCAGCTGTATTTTTAATGACACTGACCTGTTTTGAATTATAATTGACACACTAAATATCGTTTGAAAGCACAGAGCAAAAGGTTGAAGTTCAGCTTTGACCTTGGAAATAGTGCTTCTCTGAAAAGTAGCCAAATTCATTCTGCTGGTGAAGATCATATAATCTGAAAACGTGTCGCTGTTTCAAACGTTGACACTGATGACGTGTCTAATTGTTGTGGTGTTCAATATGAGATACATATGTTTGCTTTTAATCTGAACGATTAGACACGCCATTCATTTGTCATATATATTAAATGTGAAACGCATTTCACACCTGATTAATTCTGGTGGTTTCAGACTTTACACCTGTGAAATCAAATATAATTCAGGCAGGAGTTTCTATAGTTTCCTTTATGTTGATGTTATGTTTTTGTTTGTGTTTCAGGTACCTGTATGCTGTGGGACAGAGAGTCTGGAAACGGTGGAAAAAAAGATATTTTGTTCTTGTTCAGGTACAAACCTAGTGAGATCAGATGACTTGTATTGATCTGATGTGGATCTTGTGTCTTATGATCAGAGAGCTGCTGGAGACTGAAAGTCAAAGCTGAAGCACATCAACAGCAAATGACTGCCATGAATAAATTGCTGATCCACATTTATTCCAGGTTCTGATTCAGACATAGTTTTCCTCAAATCCAGCAGCAGTGAAAATAAGAAGCTTTTCTGTCTGTAAAATGCTTTGCATCAGTCCTCAGGCCTTCATACGAACACGTCCTCATACTGAGGCAGTTCTCTTTCATAAACTCTCATTTCCCTTTTTTCTTTTCTTTTTGTTTCTTTCTTTTATTCTTTTTTTAATTTTTATTTGAAACACTTAAATGGAAGGGCTACACAAGAGAAAGGAATTAGGGGGAAAAAAATACAATGTTATTAATAGGTTATTAAAGAACATCACAGTAGCCGCTGTACTTGAAACTTATTTTTTCAAGCCCTCGTCTGAGCCCTAGAGTCCTACTGACACACAGTTAATAGTGTTTTAGTTTCTGCAATATTCTTTGACACCTTTTTTTACCTGAGTTGTCATTTACTCTCTGAGCACTTACTGATCGCCCTGGATCTTTGTAGGGCAAGAATGCACATTTAAATTAAATGGTCTTTTGTGAGCTTAAACTCTGTTCACTGCTCTTTGTGACAATTTTGTTAGAAAAAGTTCTGTAAAGGCGTGAAAAGATAGAATCTCTGCACTGAATATCATCTGTTTATTTATGGCTGAACCAAGTGCTTGACAATGTTTTTGTTTTTTAATGGTGCAGTTCATTTAGAAAAGTTCTTTCTAATGTCCATATTCCCACTTTGGTGGAGAAGAATGTGAACCAGATCTTCTCATCCAACATCAGTGTTGGAGGTCATTAATGCTGCTGTCCAGCAGAGTGGGAGCTGCCTCAGCAGCGGAGTAATGCCCTCAGTTGTCCATGTTGCACAGTTGTGCTGGAGGTAAAGTTAAGACTGGATCAGGATAAGGATTGTTGTGTTTTTAGAAGGAATTCTGTTTCTTTATGTGTTCAAAGCTGATATGAGTTTGCTGCAGTTAAACTGAAAGAAATTAAAAAAACATATAATGATGTATTTTGAGCAAATGCTGGTGAAACTATGCTGATGGTTCTTCGTACTGGAAGGTTTTCTTCCATCTGCTTTTGGCCTTAAGTACCAAAGGCTCAGCTGGACAAAGCATAGAAATGAGATATAAATGCATCAGAACAGGCTGTGCACTTTTATTTAGCATATGTCAGGATAAGTCACTGTCTCAGGCTGAACCGACTGCATTAGTTTAAAATCTCTGTGGGGAAAAAATGCACTGGAAATTTAAGGAGCTTCAGTGTCTTCAATGTGTGTCGCCTTTGTCCTGCAGGTAAGCCAGTACACATTTGCCATGTGCAGCTACAGAGAGAAGAAGGCTGAGCCTCAGGAGCTGATGCAACTGGAAGGCTACACGGTGGATTACTGCGACCCTCAGCCAGGTACACGCCTGCAACATACATGCACACAACATACATCTGAGGATGACTTCTTATTTGTTCATTGAATTGAACTTAACAACTTTTGCTGTTTGTTTTGTGGCAGTTTGAATCTGATGCATTTAAATGAAACTATAAAACACTTATTTGAACAAATTTCTGACTGTATTGATAAAGTACAAGTACAAATACAATCATCATTTTATTGCCAGTCCTGTTTTAGGCCTCGGTGCCTCTATCCAAATGTCCCCACTCGTACAAATTCATTGACTTTACAGTTGGTCTGTAACAGCTGTAAGATCGTCCTCCACAATTCATCAAGTCACTGCCACAGTTCAGATGTCTGGTCCTGGCTAGCCCCTGTTCTAGTACCTTCTGTAAATCAGTGCCCCTAAACATGTTCCTGAGGTTAACTGTCAATATTCTAGTACAAATTTTGCATCCAATACAACACTGGAAATTAGACATTAAAACCCTTGTAATTTGCACTTATGAAACACTGATTATGTTGTTAGCATACAAAACAACAACTACAGCTGCACTTGATGGCATTGGTTTACCACTGCTAATATAATAACTGAATATTAAATAAAAACAACACTTAAGAGCCTGCATTATGCTCCTTTGCAGGTTTTATTTTTGAGGTGCTTTAATGTTCTAATAACACGTTTTTTGGGATCATACACATACATTCCTACAGCACCTCTTCAGTCCAAAAGCCTCCTCAATGCCCCCCTCCCAAGAATCCCAGTCTGCTCTGATTAATCAGCTGACCAGACAAAGTGACACAATGTTGGTTATGTACGGTAACCCCAGAGGAAATAATGGAGGACTGCGAGGAAGCTGCTCATTCATTTATATCACTAATTAAGAGTAAAACTAATATATTGAAAATACTCACCACACATGACACGCCCCAAATCATCAGCAATGTTAATACTCGAGCTGTTGTCTCCTGGTTGACCGTTCAGCTGGTCGTTTTGTCATTGGTCACACAATTACCAGTACTACTTTAATAGGAAGAAAAGTGTCATTATTGTGATGCTTCTTTCAATGTTCTGATCATATGTAAGCAAATGTGATTGAAATGTTTCGCGTGCATATGAAACATATCTGAACACATGGCTTAAATGGTTATAGACTTAATTATATTTTCCACAACTTCCAGGATGAATCCATAGTTTTAAGTGGTAGGAGGAACAGACTACCCCTCTATTATCACAACTTTAATCTAATGGAAGCTGCAAGGTCTCACTTGTTTAACTTTAGTGTTTTACTTGGGTCGGCTCCAAACTAACTGACACCGGGTCGAATAAATCGTCGATGTGACTGCACCTTGTGTAGAGCTGGCCAAAAAAATCGAGTGTACACTTTGCAAACAGTGTTTGTATATCACAGCTCAATAACTAACAGAGCTTATCATCGAGATAAAGTAGGCTAACTTTGCCAGCTTTCACATTAGAAGCTTGAGTCTTTAATTGTGAATATGTTGCATATGAACATGTTTATGCCTTTTGTCTAATAGAACAGCAGGCTTATCCATCGATAGCTCCACGGCTCTAAACTCTGCCAGTTGTTGTAGCTACACCCAGGCCGAGCTGGATGTGAAGCCTCCTCTCTCTTCAAGAAGGAAAAATGATATCACAATGGAAATACTGATTTAAATAATGAGGTTAAAATAATTTAATACAAGACAATCTTAACATGAAGAATGTTCTTCCCCCACCGCCATTTGATTGGTTGATGGGTAGGTGTCATTTTAGTCGGCCAAGATTTCCTTCAGTTGATGACAGCAACTAAAACAAAGCAACAACAAGAAAGGTGTAGACATCGAAAGAACTTCATGGAAGCTCCAGGCACAATTATTTGTTCACTGTTCTGGCTAATTTTGGCTTTACTCTTTTTCCTCCTCCTCCTCCTCAGGCCTGCAGGGTGGTCGAGTGTTTTTCAACGCAGTGAAAGAAGGCGACCTGGTGATGTTCGCCTGCGACGACGAGCAGGACCGGGTGCTGTGGGTCCAGGCCATGTACCGAGCCACTGGACAGTCCTACAAACCAGTCCCACCGCTGCAGAACAAAACCACAAACTGCAGAGGAGGAAGCCAGAAACCAGCATCTCCCATCAGTAGGTTCTGATTCTCTTTGTGTTTGTTGTGATGATTTATTGAAACATAAAACCTGAAAGGGAAATGCAAAACAGCAGCTGAGAAAAATCTTGTCGTAAAGTAAGCGAGGTCAAGTTTGTGTGCTGGAATGGTGGCTGAAGACACTGAAGTCTAATTAGCCTGCCGCTTATGCTTTAAAAGTTAATAATTGACTTGGTTAAATAAAGGAAACACAATAATAGACCTGATGTTATACGTCAACGAAGAATAGTAATTTCCTCGTCTGTGTGCGACATTGTTCTTCCAGTTATCATGGCGATTGTCACACAACATTTATAGAGTTTGAGACGTTATTACATCGAAAAAGCTCAAATGCTGACGGATACTGTAAAAATCTTCAACCAGGAAATAACGTGCCAAGATGACTGGCTCTGCAGGATCTTGCAGGATGGATGCTCTTCACGCTGTTTCAATCAAAGGAGCTTAAAAAGTGAAATCCTTGACATTTATTAAAGTTCTACACAGAATGAAAGTACACTCAATACTGGCAGCTTGTCGGCTTGTGCCTACACCCTGGGTTCCTGTGTAGAGGTTTGACCTGAAGCATGCTTTTTGAAATTCGGGCTTTTAAAATGTCTCCAAATAAGAGGAGAAGATTGAGTTTATATAATCGTGCTTTGTAAAAGTGCGGTTAGTACTCATATTGTGGTGTCTCATATGGATAATTTCTGCTGCTTTTTGATCGTACAATGCTGCTTGAAAATATTTGAAATCCTTGAACAACATTGACACTTCTATTACTTTGAAAAAAGGAAGTCACGAAATGTTTGGTCAATTCCAGCTCATTCTCTGGACAGATGATTTCAAACACAGTGACAGAATCGGCGATGAAGCTGTGATGCAATTGTCAAGATGCGCCGCTACTTTTTTCCTCCGGACCACCTGAACAACTCCATACAGTCAAGACAGCCATGAAGGCTAAGGACTGTCAAGAAATTCTTGAACAGAGCATCTTAACATGATGTCTTTCTCATTGTCAGATC